CCGACCATTGCCCACTTTGTGAAATGATGAATAAAAATGTGAAAAATGTAAGAGTAGATAGAATTGCAAATTTAATCCAAGAGTATGACATTGAACAAGTTATACACATCAAAGGTCGTGAAAATTGCCTGGCCGATTATTTATCCAGATATCCAGGAGTAGAAGATGATGAATTAAATGATATCGAATATGGGCTTGAAAGTAAGGAAGGAACACCAACGAATCAAAAAACTGTAGCAGCCATGACGCTGAGAAAAAGAACAAATGTTCAGTACAATGAAAACAACTATGATTTTAATTCGGATCCTGATTCGTTCATTACAGCTGGAAACAGCGCGTGAAACTAACTCCGAACTGAGTGAAGGAAATGTACAAAAATCTGATGATGAAGGAGAAGAACCAATTCCACAAATTATACCAAAAAACTTCTCTTCTAAGCATTTTGATATAACTATTTTAAAAACTGAACAACAGCATGATCCAGCTATTCAACAAATAATTCAAAATTTAAATAATCACCCAGATTTCACCATGAAAGACGGAATTATATATAAATTATTGAATAGAATACACAATACTGGAACCAAAACACAAATTGTGTATCTACCTACGTCAATGATCAAACCATTACTCTATGCAGTTCATAATGATCCAATGACTGGTGGTCATTTTTCAACTGACAGAACATTTGATAAAATAAAAAATAAATTTTGGTGGCCGAACATGAAAAATTCCATCTCATTACATGTCCAGGCTTGTCTAGAATGCCAAGTACACAATATCAATCGTCAAAAACGTTTCTGTAAATTTCTGTAAATTTGGAATACCTTCGGTAATCCTGAGTGATCAAGGTCCACATTTCCAAAATATGCTGATGCAAAATATATCAAAATTAATTGGATATAATCACATCTACTCAACTCCATATCATCCACAAACCAACGGAATAGTTGAGAGATTCAACGCTACATTCGTGCCACAATTAGCCAGATTGCAAGATTCTGAAGATAATAATTGGGACGAATATCTACAAGCAGTTGTTTTTGCTTATAACTCTGGCATTCATAAAACAACAAAATATTCTCCATATGAATTATTATTTGGAAGATCAGCAAAGTTACCGATTGATCCACGTCCAACTCAATTTTCATTTCAAAAACCCAACGACTACTTCATTCAACTACAAAAAACGTTGAATATTTATCACAAAAATGCAAAACAGCATATTACTCATCAACAAGAATTGAATAAACAAAGATATGGTAAGAATCGTCCAGATCCACATTATCAGGAAGGCGACGTTGTATTGATAAGAGTCTTTGTTCGTGGACATAAACTCTCAGAAAAATATTTATCAACACCACAAATTATTGTAAAATGTCATCATCATACTTATATCGTGCGAGATCAGGAAACTAACGTGGAAACGCGAGTACATGTCGGTGACTTGAGACCGATCCTACTCGATTATTAAAAATTATATAGAATGAAACAATAAAAGAAGAATTATAAGTAACTGATTAGCATCATTTGTCACATCATGTTCGATCTATTTTTTTTGTCTATTAATTATACCGAAAAGAATGGACACTGATATGTTTTAAGTTTCCCGCTGAAGTGAAAAGGCCGTTGATAATTTAATAACTGTTAAATAAGTTAGTGGTCACAGGAAGTTTAACAGAGGATAAAGTAGCAATTGAGAGACTAGAATCACGAAAGAACAATGTTAATTAAAAATGACTAGCAGTTATCTGAACTCTGGTCCGGACAGTCGTTTAGACACTTATTTTATAGCAGCAATTCTTCTAAAAATAAACTAAATTTGATTTCATTTAATTAAAGATGCGTAAAAATAACCATTATAACCGTAATTCATCCAATGATATATATTATCGTCATGAATCACGAAATGAGTCAGTAAATTCAAGGTATGAACGATATTATTCTGATCGTTATTCAGCCATGTCACAGTCCGAAACGGCGTGTAGCAGTTGGTTTGAAAATGAAGAACGTCGTTCATATAATGAACCATATTATCGTCGAACAGCTAATACCAATTATTCAACAAATGCATATTCACAACAACCTTTAGATCATTCACATTCTGAACAGTCTCACCAGGCGCATACATCTAATGTTAAATGGTCTCAAAGAGGCCTAAAATACAATCATCAATCCTCATCATCAAACTACGATCATCAGCCAACATCATCTTCATCATCATCATATTCAAGAAGCCATTATTTTTCACCAGGTTATTCACCTTCTACACAGACTTCACGGTCGCGTGTAACCAATGTTGAAGTAATAGATGATAATAATGCCAAAAGACTGAAATCCACCGTCACTGCCATTAAAAAGGATCGAACTTCTTCGTATTCTGAACAGTCAGCAACGGCGAGTGCTAGTAATATGAAGGAGGTGAATAAAGCACCACCATCACGATCAACATCAAATGATAAAAATCAATTGAAAAGTAAAGGATCACCTTCAAAAGTAGTGAAACCGAAATCACAATTGATTTCAAAAATTATGTTTATGTCAGATAGTCTGGGCGCAGGAATCAGCAAAGTTATACCAGCCCAAGATTCTTACGATTTTCATCCGGATGTTCTTAGTGGGAGACGGTGGAGCGGTGGGCAACAGGACTACCTATCCACTATAAAATTTCTTGAATTAGCAACCACGAAAGAATTGTTAGATGAGTCAATTGCCGTCGTATTTCTTGTTGTAATAAATCAGATTAGAAACATGCCAGCAGAACAGGTCATTAGAGATGTACAAAGAGTGATAGAAACGGTAGAACAAAATCATCCAAATATTGAATCCATAGCCGTTGTAGATTGTATTACAACAAAAAGAACAACAGCTCGCTATCCTAATATTTCAGACATCCAAATGAACATAAAAGAATATAATGAATCGTTATCGACTTTAGCAGATGAATTACAATTTACTTTAATTCAATCTGGTATAACAGTGAATGATATAAAAGATAATAATATTCACATCAAAGAAGCAAGTAAATACAAAATATTCGATCGCATTTTTGAATTTTGTCATTCACCACTCGTACAAAAACTTACCCCATCTTCAATTTAATTTACATTTCTAACAGCAAATGAATGTTCTGCTACAATAGTTGATAAAACTCCCCCTTCTCCAAGTACTCCTCGTTCAGAACAGTCGGAAACGGCGCGTACTACTAACGTGGAAGAAGACAGAGAGGAGGAAAAAAAGGAACTAGATTCATCGCCAAATACAAATGAATTTGATGATTTCATTGACATTATTGTTTCCTCTAATGAGTTTGATGCGGAAAATAAAAAAGCAGCAATAAAGTTAAAAAGAATTGAACGAAAAAAACAAATGACACCACAACAAAGAACAATAAAAACTAAAAAAAGAACAAAAAGAGCAAAGAAATTGGTAAATAAAAATACACAGGAGTACGAAATTGCAAAAGGGTGGACAATTGGATTATTGAATGCTGTTCTAAATTATCACAAAATTCAGCAGCATCGAAATCCATATCCACAAAATCGTAAATGGATAATTAAATTTAAAAATAAAGATGAAACAGAATGTGCAAAAGAGAAACTGGGGGAATCTCCATTCAGTGCTGGAGTTAAACTAGAAAAATCAACTAAACGCGCAGAGTTTAACCAGTCGGTAAATTCACCGTACGAATTCCAAGACGTGCTATGATAATATTGTACCCATAATGATGTATCCATTTTTGGTTCAGAAGAAGGTACAACATAACTAGCCTAAATGTAATACTTTTGTTCGATCAAGTTTTTGTAACCATTGATATGCCCTAGTTGCCTAATCATTAGTAAATTCAATTTGAATAGCAAATGGTGTATTCGCGCTAGCTAATGACCAGTCATATAACATACGTTCAGCTGTTTGTAAGAACGATGACAATGATAATTTGTTACCTAATGTGTACACTTCTTTGATTTTACCATTCAACGATTCAAGACCGTTATTAGTAGATGGACTAAGATTTGCACTACCTTCATACCAAAATGGTAATTATAATAACCACTGGTCTTCAAAATATTTTCTAAATGCATCAAGGTCTTTGTCAGCAGTCCATTTCATTATCATCAATCTAGCTGAGCTACCAAATAAATGATCATTAAAAACTAATTGTAAATTGACGACATCTTTTTCAATAGCCAACCATTTTTCTTTATCTAATACCAATTTTCGATGTTCACGACTCTTACGGATTACGTGTGCCCAACACATAAGTCGGCGTGCTTGTGGTAACTCACACATG